AGTTGGCTCATGCATTTCTGGATAGTTTAGGCCAGATGGCAGTAATTGTTTGGCCCAAACTTGGCACATGCTTCCATGATGCTTTGGTCTACATGTGGCCTTGACTCAGGCATTAACTTGTGGCTCCTTTAACTCAGTCATAACTCAACCATATATTGGTTCTCAGGTGTGCTGTGGTATTTTTTTCCCCCACATCAGACCACAGAACACTCACCATAACCTATTTCAAGCCCACTATGTGGGGAATCAACACAGTGGTCATGTTTGAAGAAGTTATGCAAGGCAAGAAAAAAACTAACTTCATCTTCTGACCGAACACATTAAGACAAAAAAATTATAAAACTCTGCAATGGCTGTATCAAGTGGTTCAGGTTGACCTCGCTGCCAAACAGCTGCACATCCAGCTGACGCACAACAGCCTAAGCAACTCCTATGAGTTTTATATCTTCCCTCCTGACAAATGTAACTTAGCTTGTAGCTTGAGCAACCACTTCAAGACAAATGTCTATCTTACTTCCTCTTTTATTTAAAAGATGTTAAGTCTGTTAAATTGAAATGTAAGCTTAAAAGCCTCCCTTCACAGACCAACGGATCATCTAAATTTTTTACCGTACTGTTCCTTGATGCCATTGTGCATCGGGGAATGCTCTTAAGCCACTTATCACTGTATATTTGCTTAGTAGGGTGACCGTTTGTGAACAACAAAGAACTTCATGTGACAATCTAGCATTGAGCTAAGGAGACAGAAACAGTGGCTGTGTCCTTGTTTCTATAATCTACTGGGACACCACCGTCCTCTCTGTGTCCCTCAGCCTCCACGAGACTCCGATCAAATATTTATAGTGGACTGCCTCCCCATATCAGCCTCACTTTGCCTCACTGGATTACTAGAGGCCTTGTTCTTTTACACGTATTCTTACATTAAAAGTACAAGTAAAATCTACTCAAACTCACTCCAACATCCTGCAGGACAGCAGCGGACAGTCTTTTAATCTGTTCTGGACTGTGTTATATGAAGAAGATATTGAGGGGCTCTTGATTATAGGCATATCTCTCCATTAGCTTATTCCATTATGTGGGACTTCATGTGAATCAATGCCCATCCCTGCTTTGTTCTTGCAGTGGTCCATCTTGCATGATTTTAATAGAAATTTATTAGTGATGCCTTTGATTTAATCTCTTCCTCCTCTCTCTTCTTGCTTCATGTGTAATTTGTGGCAAGGTAAGGAGCACCCCTTGCTTCTAAACCTTTGGGTTGAACTAAGCTAATGTTGGCTCTTTTCAGATTTCCACAGCTATGCCTGGAACTTAAAGACATTTTTGGAAGATCCAGTTTGACTGAAAAATGTCACTTTGGAAAGCACAGTTGAATACCTTCACTTCTACTCATGTTCTCCTTACTCTTCCTCTCTGCTCTCATATCCTCTCATTCTCTGCGAAGCCATCAGAGAATACGAGAGAATGAACTTGACACTATTTCTGACCCCATTTCTTCTCCTCAGTAACAACCAGCCTTTGGAAGGGGACTGAGGAAGAACAGCACAACAATTAAACATGCACATTCATGCCATCCTCACATCCCTCCAGATTACAAAGTGCTTATTTATCACTTCCTATTGCTCCCTTTTTGGCTGCTGAATATGCAAACCTCCCTTCAAGCACAATATACTGAATCACTGAGGCAGAAAAGAAAAGAAAAAGATGTAGTGTGCACACCCTATCTTCCATGTATTTTTCTCTCTTGATCTTTATCTTAATGGCTATTTCAAATGTGCTCTTATAAGGATACAGTTTAAATTTGGCATGGCCTGCAGTGGTCTTTGAAGTCACCGCTCTGTTTGGACTTCTGCTTCCCCAAAGAAATCAGCACATAGTCCGAATTCTCATCGACTTGAAGCTTCTGTTCACTCAGTGTAGCTGCTTTGGTACATGTTTTGAAATGGAAGTGGGGAAATCAAACAGGAGGTTGATGTTCAGAGAAAGAGGAATGAGGGAGAGAGGGAAGGAAAGAGGAAAAAGAAAAGAAAAAACAGCCAGACTGCCATAAATAGTGTTTTATGTAACATGGCTGGATACTGATGTGATTGCATCTGGTTAGACTTGAAGCTGCACTCAGGCTCTTAGCAAAAAGTCACAGAAAGCATCTATGGAAGTAACACTGAGAGGAATCTGGCACTTTAACTCCCAGGTGATCACAGCTAGATTATTTATTGTAAGATAGGCACACTATGGCATTGATAATGTAAACATCTTTGTACAAGGTAATCTGT